ATCTGCATTATTCTTATGAATGCTATGTGACTGTTTCCCTCTTCAGTTTTGTACTCCTGCCTCCTTGAACTCAAAGGTTAAGTCAGACCAGAGCTGGGGGTTGGTCTAGGCAGGAAATGCAACTTAGGGTACGTCCAGACTACCCGCTGGATCGTAGCGATCGATCTATCAGGGATCGATCTATCGCGTCTCGTCTAGACGCGATAGATCGATCCCCAAACGTGCTCCCATCAGCTCCAGAACTCCACCAGCTTGAGCTAGTTGCCTGGGTACAATCCCTCTGAGGCTAGGTCTACACTAGCTGGGGGGGGTCGACCTAAGATACGCAACTTCAGCTACGGCGTCTCTCACGTTGATTTACCTGGCCGTGAGGACGGTGGCGAGTCGACCGCTGCCGCTCCCCCGTCGACTCCACTTCCACCTCTCACCGCGGTGGGAGTTCCGGAGTCGACGGCAGAGCGATCGGGGATCGATTTTATCGCGTCTACACTAGACGCGATAAATCGATCCCTGATAGATCGATCACTACCCGCCGATCCATGTAGACATGCCCTGAGATCCTAGGTACGTACTCAGGCAGTTAATCCGAGCAGCTGCCCATGCAGCCACACCGCTATTGTTAGCATGCTAGTTTAAGCAGAGCTAGCACGTGGAAGTCTACCCGAGCTGGGAATTACACCTCCCAGCTGCGGTGCACACATAACCTAAGAGATAAGACAGCCACAGGCACACACTTTCAAAGAAGTCCACCCCAGAAGGGGTGCACTCGGTGAGACCCTGAGAAAGGGCTGTGGTGCAGCTAGCTTGGTAACTGTCACACTAGCTTTGAAACCAGCTTTACATCAACTCAGGTTTAATTCCATGCTTTTTCCAATTGCCCAGGGTCACTATACAACCGCCACAGAGCAAAAGACAAAGGTCAGATATATATTCTGATTATTTTTAGTTCGATCAGTAGCCTTTGATATCATTGACCAAAGGCTCTGTTGACTTGCCTATGGGCATTAACTGGAGTACACTATATTGTGCATGAGTGGTTCTGTTCTTTCATCTCAGAAATTCTAGAAGAAATTCTGATTTTGGGCAGCAGCTCATCTTCTCCATTGGCTCCTGCAGAAATCTATTCTCTTCCACACATATTTGCTCAATTTGCAAGTGAAGCCACTGTGGGAGCCACTAAAAGAGACTGGTAAGGGATATAATCAGCACATGAGCAACAAAGAATTCTATGCCATCTCTCTTATCCACTTCAGATATATCTACTTTCATGGTGCCTGGCAGGGATGGAGACATGGACAAAAGCAAGCCAGTCCACACAAGCTTGAAGTTAAATTGACCATCTGGAAGAAGCATCCTGAGTGGGTTCTGCCCAAGCTTTTATATTGGTACTGTGAGTAATAGTAAAATATGTGAATTCTTTCATTACATGAAACAAAAATCTTTTCAGTAAACACATACTCTATTTATTGATTTTATGCTTTTCAAAAGAAATAAAGTACACTGGAGATCAATAGCTTTAGATACAGTTGGTTGGACTGGGCAATTTATGTCACAATAAGGGTGCCCTAATTTCCTTAGCCTTTCTGAATACAGATGCTCCTTAGATCCCTGTATCAGCTTCTTTTTTGCAATATGCACTTTATTATAATAAGAAACTAAGACAGCATTATAAATTTAGCTAACAGGAGACCTAAATAATTTTAATCTAAACAGTATTCCAAATGCAGCCTCACCTGGGTCACATACAGGCTAGAATCACATACTCTGATTTATATGCCACAACTTTATTTGTCTCAAATAGCACCTGATTATGCTAGGTGTGGGTCCCTGTCCCAAAGAGATTACACTCTAAAGAGACAAGTGACTTTCAGAAAGCGTTCATGTTGACCCCATCTGGAAAGGTGCTTATCAAATGTGGGTTCCAGACTTGATGAGGAGCTGCCTGTTGGCATAAATTCTCCTTCATAGATCTTTGGTACAACTGCACAGGCTTATTTGCTTTATTCATGAATCGTGTTCAGCCCATGATGCCCGTTACAGACATATATTCCCTCTGGCTCAGTGTTAGTTTGTATGATCACTGAGACTATATTCTTTTTCTTCTAGTTAGTCTCCTACCTCATTACTTTGCTTTTCTCTTAAATGTGTAGTATAAATATATAGTGTACCCCTACTTTTCCCCTAGACATCTTAAGTTAGAAGCTGATGTGGTTGACCGTTCTAATACCTGTGTTACTGTATTAAACATTTGTGCCAAATGAAAGCCTGCCAAAAATAAAACAGTTTACTAATGGGGTGAGATCAGCACTTATACCTGTAGTTACAGCAGAACAATTATACAATCCTGTACAAAAGATTAAAAATCACAACAATGTTAGACTATAGTAGATATTGGGAAAACCCTAAGATTTTATTAAGTAAAAACATAGATTAATGTCTTAAAAATAGAACTTCCTTCTACCATAGCCTGAAGACACTAAACTTTTTTTTGTTTTTTTCCTCGAGAGGGTGTGCCCTTTAGCACTGGCTGAACTGTGATATTACTTCATTTTTCCTTCTAAACTGTCTTGCTTGGACTCCTGCTAGAGCAGTTCACAGTGTGACACACACCACAATGTTCTTCAAGGCCACTATCGTTGGTGAAATGTACACCAACCAACAATCAGTGGATCTAGTTTCTGCCTCTTCTGAATTCAAGAGAGTAGACAAGTTTTCCCCAAACCACATCAAACAGAATATGCACAAACTTACCAAGAGCCAAATCCCATGGGCCTCCTATCATAATCAGGCAAGTCTGGAGCTATCTTGCATGCTTCTATGTTCAGGTATTTAAATATGTGGATTTTTCCTTTTATGCATATCTACAAAAAAGGAAATCCATAAATATATTTAGCACTTTATTTAATCAAAGCGCTGTACAGACATTAACTAGCTGTTGTGAACTTATAACATTCTTATAGCTCTTCATCCATTTTTTGAACCTTCTCCCATTACAAACAAACCATCATATTGAAGTGTCACAGAATAGATGTATAATAAAAAACTGGAAGCTTTTTCCAAAAACATCTGGACTGTTTGGAGCCCTTTCTGTAAGCTTGCTCATAAGGGTTTATCATGTCAATGGTCTTCTATGTGAACAAGGAGCTATATGTATTTGTAAGGGGTAAGACTTGGAACTACAGCAGAGGCATCCAAACCTTGCCCAACCTAGCTGCCAAGAGCCAGGTCTAATTTGAATCAAGCGAAGCCAATTCTAACTCCCTTCATCTTTAATATGGAGGCAGAATCTATGGAAACTATAGGTCACAGCACTTCCCATTCTTATTCAGAGGAAGCAGGTCATTCCCCAGGGCTATACATACATATTAAAGATGAAGTCAGCCATTGACCACATTGTATTTAGCCTGCAGGCTGCTGTAAAATGAATGAAAATGCATTGCGCTTTTAGGTTCCCAGTTCACTACTTCAACAGTAGAATGGCTCAAAAATGTTTTTTGTTCATAGCTCTTCCTCTCCCCCAAAGCTTACTCTGATCTAGAGCCACTTTTTTACTTATACTGTACAATGAGAATTTTATTCAAAAGGCTAACGAAGTAATTCCTGCAGTAACCACATACCTACCACCAGCAGGAGAACTAAATTAAGGGAAGTGGAAGAGTATTTCTGCCATGGGTTTCTTTAAGGTCTCTAGAGAAATACAGGTTCTTTAAAATCTTATTGTTCACAAAAGAAAGTTTTAACCATTCCGTTTCTAATCTCATTTTACATCCTCTAGTGAAAATAGCAGATTCTAATTCCAAACTTTAATTCACCTGTGCCGGGGGTGACTGTAGAGGGTTGTTATCTAGTGTGATTGTCTGAAGATGCCTGAGGTTCCGAAAACAAACAGGAATTGTTGTGATTTTATTGCAGGAGAAATCGAATCGAATCAAAGGCAATTCTGCAAGCTCTGGAGATAGAAAACAAACATTCAATCTAGCAGCTATAATAAAAAGTATGCTTACTACTAGCTCTTAGGAAAACAAGCTTTAAAAAGAATAAAAGTGTCAAAAATCTCAGTTGTTACATATGACAGACTTTTATCTGCTGATCTCACCTTCAGGTAAATGCACCAAATGATTTCTCCTGATGTTCAGGTCACGCAAAGACTCCAGACTGCCAATCTGCGGAGGTATTGTCTGTATTTCATTACAGCTCACATCCTGCAATACAAAACTACAAAGTGAGCCACTGTTTTGATACTGTCAGCCTGTTTAAATAAATCCCACTGCTAATGGGCAATTCCTGCCTTCTGGTTTTGTAGGTGTATGTACATTAACTCTGACAGGCAGTGTTTTATTTATAAACTTGTCAAAAATAAACACTTCTATGACACCTAAGATTGTCAGAGTGCTTTACTAACATTCATTAAGTTTCAGCATCGTGACAAAGTATTAATGATCTCCATTTTACAGATGGGGAAACAGAGGCACAAAATATTTTTTTCAGTCTCCCAACAACAGCAGAGCAAAGAAAAGAACGAACCCAGGAAAAATGACACTAGATCATAAAAGCTCTTTAGACAAGTTACACATTATGGAAAAAGTGAAGCTATAATGATATTTCCATGTATATTCAGTTAGCAAACTAGCATGTTAGCGTAAATTTCTATCATTCCTCCACAGATTGCCCATTTCCCATTCCTCCACAGACTCTGAAGCGGGAGAGCCTGGAGAAACACACTACCTGCCATGTACTTGATCCGGATATTTTCAAGGGCCTATCCTCATAACCTCTAGGCAATGTTACAACAACATTTAGAACACACAAAAGGATAAAATATATACTAAATTGCCAATACAAAAGCCAGCCCAGACTAAATAACTCACACAAAAATGATATTAACCTCACATGCATCTGGGCATTAGCAGGCATATGCAGCAGGCAGCCAGGGAACAAAGGGGAAGCCCTAGTAGAGCTCTGTGGTGTAGCCCTTAGCTCTACCAGTGCACTTCACTTCTCACTATTTTTGTCTTTTACTGAATGCCAAGCTTTAAAAAAAAAATCTCAAATGTACACACACACGAGGAATACTCAGAGTATATCATTAAAGAATATATGCTTGTAGGACTGAAACGTGCATGTGTGAATCCCTTATGTTTAACAATCTCTCCCACCTTGTATTTAGCTCAGATACTCTGCTTACTTTCTCCAGGCATGAAAAAGAGCTCTGTGAAGCTCGAAAACTTTTAGCTTCTGCCAGCAGAAGCTGGTCCAATAAAAGATATTACCTTGCCTTCCTTGTCTCTCCCATTAAAGAATACAGGTACTTTTGTAATTCTGTGCCATTCCCAAATATGAGTTACACGCTTATCAAGATTCTATTGCAATTGTCTCTAACATGTCAAGTTGTCTAGGTTGTTTTTTAAATCCACAAGTTCATAAACACACTGAAAAACTAAATTAAAAGCTGAAGTATTTGAAAAAAAAATAAGCTAGCTATCTGTATAGGAACGATTCCCTATACCAATTCCCACCAAGAATATCCTGGGATGGCAGATAAGTGGAATGTCCTGCAGATATTCAATAAGCCATTGCAGACCAACTGGTGACATGTCTCAGGAGGGGTAGTTGGTGGCATGGCTACCTCTCTAAAATATCACTCCCTAAGATCAGGACGTCATGGCAAATAAAGACTGCCTTAAAATAAGTCTTGCTGGGGCAGGGGAGGCTAGGAGAAATAAAACTCCAATTTCAAGCTTAAGGTGTCAGGTCAAGCTCATCCAATAGACATGTTCATGAAAACTGATCTCCATGTCAAGTGTACCTCAGAGGGCTAGGCTGTTCCTCACAATTGACATCCAACAGCCTTGTCTGACTGTTGTAATTTGGCAAAGGCTGCTAAAGCTAAAGAAGTGAGTGAGCTACCCCAGATCATCTCTAGGACAGCTGGAAAATGAAGTAAGTAGAACTTCAATGTATCAGAGCAACATTTCTAGCTAGAGCTTTCAGGCATTCATTACAAATACTAGAATATTGTGTCCAGTTCTGGTGTCCACACTTCAAGATGGATGTGGAAATAATGGAGAGAGTCTGAAAGGGGATGACAAAAATCATTCTGGGACTGAAAAATAAATCTTATGATGTGAATCTTATGGGGGTTAATCTATTCAGCTTATCAAAGAGAAGGCTGAGAGATGACCTGACCACTGTGTCTAGGTATTTTTACACAGAAAAGTTATCTGCTAGTGGGAGATTTTCAGTCTTGCAGACCAGGGCATAACAAGATCCAATGGCCGGAAGCTGAAGTTAGACAAGCGCAACCTTAAAATAAGATGCCATTTCCTAGCAATGAGGATAATTAAACACTGGAACATCTTACCAGGGGTGGGGGTGGACTCACCATCACTTGGAGTCTTTACAATGATATTGGGTATCTATCTAAAATAAATGCTTTAATCCAGTTTCTGGGAGGGAGGGGTGTGTCAGGCTGGAAGGTCATGGTGGTCCCTTCTGGCCTTAGAGTCTATGAATCCCCCTGTTCATTCTTCCCCTTGATGGGCCATGGAGAGAACAGCTCTGCATTGCACTCAACATGCTCATAACACTTGCAGCTCTGCATTAAGATAATGACTATAATCAAATCTCATACTTCAGACGGTTGCTGCAGGGGTCAGGAAGAAATTTTTTCCCCAATGAACAATTGGCCATTTGTATTCTATATTTTGACCCACCCCTCTGTGAAGCATTAGGAATTGACCTTAGCTGGAGATATGATGCCGGAGGTGGTGGACCAGTGCTCTGAGGTGGTACCTGATCACCAGATTTGGAGTTGGGAAGGAATTTTTCCCTGGTCAGATTAGTAGGGACCTTTGAGGTTTTTTTGCGTCTCTCTGCAACATGGAGCACAGATCACCTACTAGGATCGTTTGGGCATATCCCACCTAACCAATTCCCTGAGACTGCAGAGGCATTGGTGGCACCTCACTCTCTCCTGTTCTCTGCCTGTGGCACACAACAGTTAGTCTCCTGAAGACTGAAATGCTTTAGTCTAACCCAAGTTACTGGGCTCAACACAGGGGTAACTGGGCAAAAATCAATGGTCTGTGATACATAGCAGGCCAGACCAGATGATCTATTGGTCCCTTCTGGCCTTACACTCTATGAACAAATAATGTCATATATATCACCACTTGCAACTGTCTCTACCAGATATGGAGAGATCCTGGGACATCAGACTCTAGCTAATACAGTACTGTACACTCTAATTATAGGATAATATGTGTATGGCAGGGAGCCGGAGTCACCCACACGGAACTTTTATCTGGAACGCAGAATATATGATAAATTAACGTGGATGTCTTAGTAGCACTGTATTTGTTTAAACAAAGTTCCATTCTGATTCTATCTGAGGTATTTATCTGGACCCCATTACTGTTGTATCTGAGCACCTCACAATCTTTAAACTGTATTTACTCTCATAACACCCTAGTGAGGTAGGGCAGTACTATTATCCCCATGTTACAGATGGGGAACTGAGGCACAGAGAGACTTGCCCAAAGTCAGGAAGTCTGTGACACATCAAGGAATTGAACCTGGTCTCATGAGTCCTGGGCTAGTATCCTAATCATTGGACCATCCTTCCTCCCTCAGTCAATAAAGTTATTTCATCTCAATGAAATTTAAACCCACCAGAGCAAATCATTTATAAACTAAGGACTGAACAGCAATCATTAACAATAAGTATATACTCACAAGCTCTGTCAGGTGTCTGAGCTGTCCAATTTCTTCAGGTAGTGAGACCAACTTATTATTACTTGCTATCAAAACTTTCAACGGTAGACTACACATGTGTACTGGCAATGTTGAAAGCTGGTTTCGACTTTCGGGTAGGGAAAAAAAAAAAGTCAGAATGTGGGAAGAGACCATTTACCAATTTTAACACAACATAAGAGAATCTCAAAATCATGTACTCTATTTTGACAGGATGTAAGAGCATCAAGTCAGTTTCGAGACACATTTACAAGTGAGCTGGGTATCTTGCAGTCTCTTCTTTACACATCTTCCTTATCCTTTGCTTTACCGAGATGTGTTGTAAACAGAAGCTCTGAATCTGCTACTACTCGTGGGGATGGGGGGATAGGGCATTTTTGTAGGAGGCTTTTAGGCTCTGGGGCTTACTTCCTCTTTCAGAGTCTGGCCATATTTAGGCATCATGCAGACACCATTTTCTTATTTTTTTACTGCGGATTAGCATGTGGGGAACAGCATAGGGTAGAAACAGCGTATTATTTGCTCAGTAGAAATGTTAAATGTGTGTTTTCATTATTTAATTTGTAATAGGGCCAATTATCATGGTGATAAGCATTTAAGAAATCCTTGTTGCAATGAATTTGGACATGTTACAATCCAGTATTTGACACATCACAATTTATAAACATCAAAGCAAACATTAGGTCATGTAACTGGACTGAAACCTCAGTGAATGAATCACACAGGAAGAGTTTGGTTTATAAAACGAGAATGCTATGATTTATTTGTAAACGGAAGCAATCAGACTGGAAAACTAGGGAAAAGTTAATGTTACCGTAAGGAGGTTTTAACAAGATACTAAACTCAAGTTTATCAAAATGTGGCATTGTTCTTCTAGTGTGTGGAGTCTAAATTTCCCACTACAAAATCCTACTCCTGAGCAGTAGACGAACTAATGTCAGCTGGCATCAAGGAATAATAATTTCAAATACACCTGTTAGAGATCACAGCAATAGGAAATCCATCTCTGACTCACATCCTATTCATACAATGCACACCATAAAGCAAAAAAGGAAGATAAGCAAAACTTAATTGGCAAAGGGGTAACACCAGATGTAATGCAAAATGTTTTTTTTTCTTAACTAATATCATTACTAGTTTGTGAACAGGGGTTCTGCATACCTCTTAAAACATTGGTTTTAATAATGCAGGTTGCAGTATACAGTTGAACTTCAATAATAGGATACAACATGGTTATATTACAGGTCAGGAAATTAAGTTTTATTACAGATAGACATATGTATTTATGTTTTTGTGAAAAACTGTTTAAAATCTACCAGTGCAATGTACTCAAAGGAAATTCCCTGTACTTTCTTAGAAGTTGCAATTAAATACTTCTCTTTCTTGGGACACTTCTTGACAGCTAATAAGTGTTGACACTTAAAAGGCTAACAGATGAATCAGTCTTCTCTCTTTAAACTAATATATCTAGATTTTGTCCAAAGAATGCTGGCTTCTATTTCACAAGAGGGAGATTCCAGACAGTTGGAATTAAACTAAGTTTTGGGTTGTCTTTGTCAGTTATTAGTTTCCCAGCATACCCCTCACCTTACTATCAATAACCTCCTATCTTTATCTAGTTATTCAAGGAGCAATGGCCCTTATTTACAGAGCAAGGTTTTGCTTTTCAAAGCAAGAAAGGAAACCCATAAGAATAAGTGAAATTGATAGCACCAGATTCTATATTTTTAGACAATAAATCCTGGATGTGTATTTTACATCACTGATTTAAATACAAAAAAGTGCTCCAATACAATGCCTACGGTGCATAGACAAACAATATACTGTGCAATCAATACTGTGCATTCAAGAAAATTTATTGCATATATAGTTAATATAGATTATAGTCTGAAATGCACATGTGGTGGGTATTCACAATTTAAAATGTAGTTAAAACATGGTCAATAGCCACTAATTTTAAAGTTAAGTATTTTTTAAGTTAAAAACAGCTAACGTAGTACATTTTTCATCAAAAGGAAAAAAGCAATATTATGCTTTCATTGCTAATTCAATTTAAACTACTTCTGAATTACACAAGTTTTAAAAGAGGAAATATGCTTGATCTGTTCAATGTGCAACTTACAAACCCAAGAAACATTTACTTCTCTCAGCCTCACATATTTAATTATTGGCTCTATCCTTGCTCTCTATTT